TAAAAATCAATATTTTACCTTGAAAAAGCTTCAGAGGCTCCAGACTCCAGGTTGGTGGGATGTTTGTGGTGTTTCCCTGTAAAACAAACCAGACAGAATAATCGACAATAGACAGTTAGAACTCAGTGAATTTGCCTAAAAGACGAGAATCCGGACCTCGAGTTGACATGAAAACAGTCCAGCTGGAGCTTTGTTCAATTATTTACGACTAAATGAAAATAAATACAGGTCTGAAGTCTGAACACCAAAATTCAAGCTTTATTCTCAGAATTCATGAAATTCTCAAAACGCTAATTTTCAACAAGTTCTTTTCATCATAACAACTAAAAACAGAGAAAAACAAACTGTTCAATTAAATCTTTGGTTCACAAACTCCAGACGCTTCATGTCGACGGCGCCTCCTGCACACGTTTCATATCTACGTCTGTAAACGTTTTACAGCCACAAGAAAACAAGCAAAGGTCTGAGAAAAGACAGAAAAAGATTTTCACAGCACAAATGTTTTTCCTTTCTTTGAACCCGGATCATCGTCTGCTCGCCGATTTAGTTTTTCATCAAGAAGATTCAACATCTGACGGCTGACTTCAGATTAAACGCTCATTTCCAGAAGGTGGGATGTTTTCATCGGTTAAATCTCAGGACGGGACGGACGTCAGAGTAAAATACATTAAATAGAACAACATCAACAGGAACAATGTGCGTCTCAGAATTAAAGCTCCTTTAAAAAACCAAAAACACGACGACAGCCGACTCCTCTGATTGTGAAACATATAAAACTGGATTTTTTTCTCTGTAATTTGTCTTTAACTGAGTGTTTATGGGTCTAAGCAGCGTCTGTAGAAGTAGAAGTGGTAGTCTGTGAAGAGCGCCCCCATGTAGTGGTGGTCGGTACTGCAGTCTGCTTGGCCCTGGAGAGAAACATGAAAACACACGTTAATGACATTAATGTGGTAAATATGATAGAATACAAGGTTCAGAAAGGATTCCCTGAAAGGTTTGATCCTTTTGTTGCTTTTCCACTTTGAATCAATTCAATTTGGCTTCAATGGAAAGAATTTACAAAAAAGACTCTTTCATGTCAAAGTAAAACAGTATCTGTTCTCATCATGATGCTGCCACCACCGTGCTTCATCATGATGCTGCCACCACCGTGCTTCATCATGATGCTGCCACCACCGTGCTTCACAGTGAGGATGGTGTGTTTGTGATGATGTGCAGCATTTGGTGTCCAACAAACAAAGCCATAAAGCTCCATTCTGGTCTCCTCAGACCAAAGAACCTTCTTCAGGTGACTTCAGAGTCTCCACGTGTCTTCTGGTCCAGATTTAATCTGAGCTTTTTCCAACAGAGTCTTTCTCTTTGTCTCCATAAAGCTTTGATGGTGAAGAACAGACAGTTGCATGAACAGTCTCTAACATCTGAGCTCCTGATGCTGGAAACTCCTTCAGAGGAGTCTTGGTGGCCTCCTTCACTAGTCCATCCATCCATCCATTTTCTATACACCGCTTCATCCTCACTAGGGTCGTGGGGGGGCTGGAGCCTTCCTTCACTAGTCTCTGTGTTGAATTAGTCGAGTCACTTTAAAGGCAGTGAATACTTTTATAGTCACTTATTGACATTCGTTTGTAGGAAGTTGTTCACTTTGACNTTGTCTTTTATCTGTGTTCAGTCAGACAGAACTCAGGAAACGTTGCTGCTCCGAGTTTCTTTATTTGTTGTTTTGAACCCAAAACTGAGTTCTTTAAAAAAGTTTGGGCTGAATTTAAGAATTTCATATTTATTACAGATATGGGATCTTGGATTCAGGTCAGACCAGGTCTACGCCGTGGTTTTCACTTTGTTCTTCTGTAGGAACTCTTGTGTGTTGGGATGAGCATCCAGCTGGAATGTTTCTCATGATGCTGCCTCCTCCGTGCTTCACTGTGGTGGTCCTGGTTCAGGTTCACACCAAACATCTGGACTCCATCTGAGCCCAACACGACCAGAGAATGTCCTTCCAGCATTCTTTTTTCCAGATATTTGGACATATTTCCAGTAATCATGGACAGATCTTAAGTCATTTTGGAGAAATTTCAGGTTTTTGAATCATTCTGGAGATATAACCTTATTTTTTTGGACAAATGGATCATTTTGGATGTGATTTGAGTCATTTGGGGGAAAAAATTAAAATAATTTTGGACGGATTTGGAGTAACTTTGAACTGCTTTTGCATGATTTTGTTCTTGGGATGGTTCCTCCTGCTGGAATATTCTTCCTCTTCAAGCCGCTTGTCTGGTTTATCCTCAGACATCAACACCTTCTGCCCTCATGCAGCCCCACATCATGATGCTGCCACCTCCGTGCTTCACTGTGGTGGTCCTGGTCAGGGTCACACCAAACATCTGGACTCCATCTGAACCCAACACATTGATCTCCATCTGACCAGAGAATGTTCTCCAGCATCCATCAGGCTTCTTCTAGCAAAGTTTCATCTCACAGTTTTGTTCAGAACTGGTCCTCCGTCCACAGAGGCTGATGTTCTAAAGCGTCTGAGCTTCACACTAGCTCTGGTCTCCATCGATCAGCCCTGTGCCAAGTCTGAAGGAGCTGATCAGGGCTACTATGGCTCCCTCTGGACCTCCTGCTCACACTGGGCTGAACTGGTTT